GATCCTTGCCTGGGGCTCTCTGTTCACTGCTGGTTATGAGCCCACCAGGCCCCAGACTGACTCCAAACTAGAGTCTGGACTGCCCTGGGGTAGAAGGCAGGGGGCCTGAGGTGTGATTCTGTACCTGACATTTGGTGTGAGCAGTGTGGGATACTGTCATGATGTGGGCTGTGCAAGTAGAGGCCTAGCAGGCCCAGGGAGCCTGCGTAGCAGTGGGTGGAGGCCAGGCCTACAACTCCCAGAAGTCCCTGAAAGGTTTTGGTGCCAATTTTCGCCAATCACAGAGATAGGGGACTGATAATAAAAGACCTGGTACAGAAGGAGAGCTGTTCATTTCTTCCAAGAGAGCAGTGCCTGAGGGAAGGCTGCTGCTGGGAGAGACCCTCACCCTGAAAGGAAGGGTGAGCAGGCTCAGGCCCAATTGAGACAGTGAACTGGGGACTGTGAGTCTAGTCACGTCACTTGGTTCCTTTTCACCCACTTATTGTTATTGTTCTTACACCTTGTTTGACTGACCTCCTGTAAAAATAACGCTTTTATTTGCTGTTCCCTCTGCCTGGTCCTCATGCCTATTATATGGCCAAACAACGGAGGTCTGAAGGCCTTGGGAAGGTGCTCTGGGCCTTCTCAAGGGATCCGAAAACCAGAGTGGTGGCAGCGTCAGATGACACCCCCATCTGAACTGTGACAGATACAGCAGGAGTAAGAGTTTAGGGAGAGAGCTGAAAAACATATGGTGAAGCAGAAGTATACTGAAGTGACCAGCATATTTGCTTCCGGGGCGTTGCTGAGCATCAGGCTTCAAGCGCAGCCCTTACTTGCTTCTTTGTGCCTACTCTTTGACTCAGGAGTTCAGCCTGTTCATGAGGCCTTTGATGCCTGACTTGTTTGCCTTTGCTCTGGGTTAACGTTTGGGTTTCTCATCATGTTTAAAGACCAGGCTCTCTGTGGGAGGAACCACTATCTTCTGGGGTCTCGGGGTACCTGGGAGTAGGTGAGATCAGAGCAGTTTTTTCCCTATGTCTTTTATGGTTCATCTTTTTCACTTGGACTCAAGGAGAATTACGCAGTGTAAAACAATTTAGATCAAGAGGAAACGGGTCATTAAGGAAACAATAAAATAGAGATTGGGATTACCCAAAAAGCAGGAAATGAACAGAAAATCTGGAGAAAAAAGGGCTGAAACAAAGCATGCGCATTTATGTGATACGTTCAATGGTACAATAGTTACACAGAAGGATCATGCTTAGGGCAGCAGAAACTGGACACTGTAGGACAGACAGCAGCCCCTGTCTCTTTACTGAAACATCTTTTTAAAAGGCATTCCATTCCCTAATTTGTGGAAAGCCAGAAGAAAAGCGGCTTTCCTGATCACCTTGGGCACGCTATTCCCCCAGGCTTTGGGCACAACATAGGATACACATGAACAGCCAGTTGTTGATCCTACCCATTTGCAGGGAAACACCTGCCAAAGGCCCTGCTCAGAGAAGTCCCGGCTGTCTTGGTCGAGCAGAGGGGGAGAGTCGGTCCTGCAGGTGTGAGGGACCCAGGCGGTGACCGGCTCTGTACGTGATGGCCAATCAGCTGAATCGAACCTGATAATGGGAGATGCATGCTGAACAACTATAGCAGCTTCTCTCCCTGGCCCTCACCGTTGGGCTGTGAAAACTAGCTAAAAGAAATTAACCCTGTGGTGTCAGTCTTCTACAGCTGTGGAAAAAGGGAACCAGCGGTTTCATGGGAAATATCAAAGGTCAGTCTTCAGATCTTGTGTCAGTAGAACAAACGAAGGCTCAGACAGCTCGAGAGACAGTGGTGGCGTGTTCGCGACGAGGCAACAAGAGCATCCTATCAAACGTTTATGGGTCGTATGAGATGGCAGCCAAGGCTGCGAAAAGGGAATTCTACTCAGCCACGATTGCATCTGCTAGCTCACGCCCGGCACAATTATATAGAACAATTTGGTCTTTAACAACTCTGCCACAGGGCAGACAAAATACTAGGGAATTGGATATAGGCTGTGAGGCTTTTGCGAGCTACTTCGCAGACAAAGTTTTGTTGCTCCGCCGCAACCTCCCAACCTTCTGGTCCCATTCTGGATTCTTTCAGTTCGCCCAGCCTTGAGGAAGTTTACAGATTGATCTCAATCACGTGCAGCCTTTTTTTTTTGTGATTAAACTCTCCTAAAAAGGAGAGGACTTTATTGCTTTTAATTTGAGAAAAAGGGAGGGTATATAGCGGGAGCAAGAGAAAGAGTGAGTGGTGTTAATACTGGTATGTTAATTTTTTGTTAGTAATAATCCAGTCGTCTTTAGCTTCTTCCACGAGATTGACGATCATCTTTCATTAAGTTCTGTAGAGAATAAAATTGTTAATATGTTAGTAGTGTCCCTTTGGTTCATTGTTAATAAAGTCTTTGCATGTGCTCCACGAACCAGTCTTTATTTTTTGGGCTGTCTTCCTTTAATGTCTCTCAGATTGTAGGTTGCACCTCCTACAGCACCTTCCTCTTCTGGCTCTTTGTCCTCCCTCTCCGAGTCGCTGTCTTCTCTGCTTCCAATCTTCTCCCATTCAGCAAGTGCTGCTTCCTCTGAGCTGGCGTGTCTCTTCATAAAGTCTTGAGCTTTGAAGATGGAGTCAATCTTTTCTTTTTTATCTTTAAACTTGAAAATGAGTCCTTCTGGAATCAACCATCTGTAGCTGATTTGATGGTTTTGGAAGAATAGGGTCAGTCCTTTATATGCCTTCCGTTTCATTCGAATTTCAAATGGCACATCTTTCAAAATTCTCACTGGTTGGTCTCCGATCTTCAATGGCGTTGCTGAGGTTGATCTCAAGATTTGCCAACCACATACAGCCTTGATCCGTGCCCCTCTTGGCTAATTAAAGCTGGCCATGAGGGGTTCCGAGGCACCGTTAGGGACATTATCAACAGGTCCCTCTCTGAGGGGCTGTTCCAGGGCTTCTCAAAGAAGCAATGGTCTGTCCTCTCCTAAAAAAAAACTCTGGACCCGGCCGAATTAGCCAACTATCGGCCGGTCTCCAACTTGCTGTATTTGGCCAAGTTAATAGAGAGGGCAGTGGCGATACAGTTGCAGAGCTTTCTGGATGACACTTCCACGCTGGACCCTTTCCAGTCTGGCATCCGCCCAGGCCATAGGATGGAGACAGCACTGGTCGCCCTCATGGATGACCTCCGGAGGCATCTGAATTTGGGCGGGACGGCGGTGCTGCTGTTGTTGGACCTGGTTGCGGCGTTCGACACGGCCGATCATCAGCTGCTCACCCACCGCCTCACCGACATGGGGATTCGGGGGCTTGCCTTGCAATGGCTCGTCTCCTTCCTCCAAGGTCGGGGACAAATGGTGGCAATTGGGGAGAAGCTGTCCCAAAGTCACCCACTAATATGTGGAGTGCCACAAGGGGCAGTGCTCTCCCTGATGCTATTTAACATCTATATGTGCCCCCTTGCCCAGATTGCCCAGAGGCATGGGCTGGGGCGTCACCAATATGCAGATGACACCCAGCTCTATCTGTTGTTGAGTGGTCAATCTGACTCTAAAATGGAAGATCTGGACCAAGCGTTGCAGGACATGGTGGGATGGCTGAGGCTGAGCCGACTGAAATTGAATCCGATAGCATTCCAGATTCACTTCAAGGTGCTGGTTTTCACCTTTAAAGCCCTTTATGGTCAGGAGCCTGCCTACCTAAGGGACCGCCTTTACCCTCATGTTCCCCAGAGAGCACTGCGATCTGGAAAACAAAACCACCTGGCCTTCCCTGGGCCTAGGGACGACAGGTTGACAGCGACTAGGACCAGGGCATTCTCCCTGGTGGCACCAATGTTAGAACAAGCTTCCAAGTGAGATCAGAGCCCTGTGGGACCTCCAGCAATTCCACAGGGCCTTGAAAACAGAGCTTTTTTGCTGTACGTTCCAGTAATAATGACTTCATTGGTTGTTACATTTGCATTTGCACTTTATAATAATTCACCACCATCGTTAATATTTAACTGGATTAATTATTTAATTGGTTTTAAATTGTAATTTTGTAATTTATTGAGTATATTTTATGTTGGTTTTAAAATTGTAAGCCACCCTGAGCTGCTTGACGTGAGGACGGGGTAAAGGTAAAGGTAAAGGTTCCCTTGCTCGAAAGCCAGTCGAATCCGACTCTAGGGTTGCGGTGCTCATCTCCGTTTCAAAGCCGAAGAGCCAGCGCTGTCCGAAGGCGTTTCCGTGGTCATGTGGCCGGCATGACTAAACACCAAGGCGCACGGAACGCTGTTACCTTCCCACCAAAGTGGTACCTATTTATCTACTTGCAATTTCTTGCTTTCGAACTGCTAGGTTGGCAGGAGAGGACGGGGTAGAAACCTAATAAAGAAATAAAAATAAAAAACTTCTTAGAGATAACGGTTTTAATTTAAAATAAAGCATGCTCTTTGTATTAGGCGAGAATTTGATGAAAAGGTGAAATTAATCGTACAGCTAAAGAAAACTACACTCAATAAAAATCAGGTCTCCAAACATTTCTCACACTTAGCTAAATACCTAAGCATTACAATTCTTTAAGATTTAGGTAAGTCAATTTTTAAGCTGATGGGCAGAAGGCTATGTACAGTGGGATACCCGACACACATGATATGTTCACCCGATATAAGGAAGCCACCAGCAGAAAGCCTCGTTTGACCCTTACGTCACACTTTTGATAGAGATGACAGAGGAAGATAAATAAAATCGTTGAACTTGAACACGTGATTGTCTTACAAATAAAACAATTGGACCCTAAAGTGACTGTGCAAAGGAGTTTCTATACTACATGGACTAGAATACATCTTGGTAACTGCAATTAAATTCTCAAAGAAAGGTTATAAGACTCAAGACAGCAGTTGTTTGCAATTCTAGAGCAATAAATCTCCTCCTTCGTCAGTTATAACAAGGAACTGTCAAGGTTGAGAGGTGGTTATGAAATTAAAATCATGAGTTTCCTCTCCCCTGGTTTCTCCCGTGTGGCTTCTTCTATGGGAAGTAAGAACGTTACTGTGAGCACAGATTATCCCACACTCCATACCTTTGTATGGTTTCTCTGTGAACTTTTTAATGGCCGTTAAAGTGTGCAGGGGGAAGCAAAGTGTCCACTTTGACAGAAGCTTTTCCCACACTCCAGGCATTTGTATGGTTTCTCCCCTGTATGAATTCTTTGATGGAAAGCAAGTCTCTTACTATGACTGAAGCTTTTCCGACATTCCAGGAATTTGTATGGTTTCTCCCCTGTGTGATTTCTTTGATGGGAAGTAAGACTCTCCCCTCCGACTGAAGCTTTCCCCACAATCCAGGTATTTGTATGGTTTTTCCCCTTTGTGAATTCTTCGATGGGAAGTAAGACTGTTACTGTGACTGAAGCTTTTCCCACACTCCAGGCATTTGTATGGTTTCTCCCCTGTGTGAATTCTTTGATGGGAATTAAGACTTTTACACTGATTGAAGCTTTTCCCACAGTCCAGGCATTTGTATGGTTTTTCCCCTGTGTGAATTCTTCGATGGTAGATGAGGTAATATGTTCTTCCAAAACTTTTCCCACACTGCAGGCATTTGTATGGTCTCTCCCCTGTGTGAGTTCTTCGGTGGAAGATAAGGGTGTCAATCCGACTGAAGCTTTTCCCATACTCCAGGCATTTGTATGGTTTCTCCCCTGTGTGAATACTTTGATGGGAGATAAGAGTGTTACTCTGACTGAAGCTTTTCCCACAATCCAGGCATTTGTATGGTTTCTCCCCTGTGTGAATTCTTTGATTTGCAGGAAGACTCTTACGCTGACAGAAGCTTTTCCCACACTCCAGGCATTTGTATGGTTTCTCCTCCGTGTGAATTCTTTGATGGTAAGTAAGACTGTTACTCTGACTGAACCTTTCCCCACACTGCAGGCATTTGTTTGGTTTCTCCCCTGTGTGAATTCTTTGATGGTAGATGAGGTAATATGTTCTTCCAAAACTTTTCCCACACTGCAGGCATTTGAATGGTCTCTCCCCTGTGTGAGTTCTTCGGTAGAAGATAAGGGTGTCAATCCGACTGAAGCTTTTCCCACACTCCAGGCATTTGTATGGTTTCTCCCCTGTGTGAATACTTTGATGGGAGATAACAGTGTTACTCTGACTGAAGCTTTTGCCACAATCTAGGCATTAGTATGGATTCTCCCCCGTGTGAATTCTTTGATGGGAAGCAAGGTGTCCTCTTTGACGGAAGCTTTCCCCACACTCCAGGCATTTGTATGGTTTCTCCCCTGAGTGAATTCTCCGATGGGAAGCAAGGTGTCCACTTTGACGGAAGCTTTCCCCACACTCCAGGCATTTGTATGGCTTCTCCCCTGAGTGGATTCTTTGATGGGAAGTAAGACTGTCACTCCGACTGAAGCTTTTGCCACACTCCAGACATTTGTATGGTTCTCTTGTGTGTGTTGTTTGATGGGAAATAAGACGAGAACTGTGACGGAAGCGTTTCTCACACTCGAGGCATGTGTATGGTTTCTCCCCAGTATGAATTCTTCGATGGGAAGCAAGGTGTCCACTCTGACCGAAGCTTTCCCCACACACCAGGCATTTGTATGGTTTTTCCCCTGTGTGAATTCTTTGATGGGAAGGAAGACTGTCACTCCGACTGAATCTTTTCCCACACTCCAGGCATTTGTATGGTTTCTCCCCTGAGTGAATTCTCCGATGGGAAGCAAGGTGTCCACTTTGACGGAAGCTTTCCCCACACTCCAGGCATTTGTATGGTTTCTCCCCTGAGTGAATTCTCCGATGGGAAGCAAGGTGTCCACTTTGACGGAAGCTTTCCCCACACTCCAGGCATTTGTATGGTTTCTCCCCTGAGTGAATTCTCCGATGGGAAGCAAGGTGTCCACTTTGACGGAAGCTTTCCCCACACTCCAGGCATTTGTATGGCTTCTCCCCTGAGTGGATTCTTTGATGGGAAGTAAGACTGTCACTCCGACTGAAGCTTTTGCCACACTCCAGACATTTGTATGGTTCTCTTGTGTGTGTTGTTTGATGGGAAATAAGACGAGAACTGTGACGGAAGCGTTTCTCACACTCGAGGCATGTGTATGGTTTCTCCCCAGTATGAATTCTTCGATGGGAAGCAAGGTGTCCACTCTGACCGAAGCTTTCCCCACACACCAGGCATTTGTATGGTTTTTCCCCTGTGTGAATTCTTTGATGGGAAGGAAGACTGTCACTCCGACTGAATCTTTTCCCACACTCCAGGCATTTGTATGGTTTCTCCCCTGTGTGAATACTTTGATGGGAGATAACAGTGTTACTCTGACTGAAACTTTTGCCACAATCTAGGCATTTGTCTGGTTTCTCCCCTGTGTGAATTCTTTGATGGGAAGTAAGACTGTCACTCCGACTGAAGCTTTTCGCACAGTCCTGACATTTGTGTGGTTTCTCCCCTGTGTGAATTCTTTGATGGGAAGTAAGACTGTCACTCCGACTGAAGCTTTTCGCACAGTCCTGACATTTGTGTGGTTTCTCCCCTGTGTGAATTCTTTGATGGGAAGTAAGACTGTCACTCCGACTGAAGCTTTTCGCACAGTCCTGACATTTGTGTGGTTTCTCCCCTGTGTGAATTCTTCGATGGGATGTAAGGTGCGCTCTCTGCCTCAAACTTTTCCCACATTTCTGGCATTTATATATTTTCTTTCTATTACACATCCTTTGGCGAATATTAATAACTGATATGTCAGTGAAACGTTTCTTGCTTGCAGTGCACTCCTCCCTGTTGTCTCCTTGACATGTGTCTTCCTGGAGAGAGTAACCCCCCTGCAAAAGACCGGAATTGTTCCTCCCTTTAGGTGGGTGTTTCCCCTCCTCCTTCCTTGGTGCATCCAAATATTCAATCTTCTCTATCCCATCTGAATATGTATCCTCTTTTCCCATCAATCGGGGTTCTTCTGCAACATTCGCTGATCGCCACACGGCTCCTGCAGAAAGAAAGGGGTGCCTGGTGTGAGGATATGACACTTTCCACAAACACCTAATGTTGAGCCCAGGAGCACCTAAAGACTAACAAGATTTTTTAGGTAAAAGCTTTCAGATGTCCTGGTAGGGCTCCAGGCTAGGGACGATGGCAGAGGAGGGGCTTGGGGACACCCCTCCACAGCCAGCCCCTCTTAGGCAATCACTTAGGGCGACCGAGTGGACGGGATCCCACTCTGTTGGCTGATTCTTCTACGGTCTGGCTGCCAGCTGACAGACTGCAAGTCTAACTCAAGCCAGATGGGGGCAGCAGAGAGGAAACTGCAGCTGTACAAGGAATGGAGATGGAAAGGGCTTGGGAGTGGGCAGTTCCTCACCACCTTCTACTAAAACCAGGACGAGCAAAGTCCGTCCCTAGCCGGAAAGAACGTTTGCACGCAAAACACCAAGCCTCCAGGTCGCCGGGCAGCCAGAAAGAGGCCAGAAATAACAACAACATCCGGAGCCCGCCGGGAGAAGAAAAGAAGCGCTGCCAACATGGTGTCGCTAGGGAAGTCCCTCCCCTTGTGAAATGTGGCCCTAGGTAGGTTCAATCACTACTGTATAGTAGTAAAGTCTGTAAACCTCTCTGAGACCCATTAGAGGTTATGAGCGGTATATAAGTCTCATGTAAATAAATAATAAATAAATAAATAAATCCCTAAGGAATTAGGAGATTGCTTTGAAATGTGGTGTTGGAGAATAGTTCTCTGCAGACCACCAAAAATACAAATCAGTATCCTCTAGACCAGGGGTGTCGAACTCATTTGTTATGGTGGCCGGATCTGACATAAATGAGACTTTGTTGGGCCAGACCATGTGTGTCATGAAATGTCATGCCAGGTAGCAGAGATAGAAACTTTATATAAAGGACACAAACACAAGGAGAGAAGAAACTGAACCTCCTTGGCCTCCCAATATCAGCACTCAAGAATATATCTCAGCAAGAAGCATGGAGACAGATCAGATCGAAAGCAAGTAACTGGGATAGGGTGAGTACCACCGCTGCATGTGCCAGGCGTGTATCTTCTCCTCCTGCTCTGGGAATTCCTCCTCCGTTTACCCTTCCATCATATCTAAGCCATCTTACCACCCCCTCATAGATTTGCTTTTACTCTTGCAAGATTAAATGCTGTACCGTCTGCAGAATTAACGGGACGTTTCTCACGAACTCCATATTCAGACAGGTTTTGTCCCTGCGCTTCTGGCGAGATTGGGACGCTGACACACCTTCTTTTGCTTTGTTCTCATTGGTCATCTCTTAGGTCCTATTGGGTCTATCCAGTGTTATGGAAATAACATCTTCCACTGGAGCCATCTGCTGACAGATACTGACCCGACAATCGCCACTTCAGTAGCAAAATACTTCGCTATTATAACAGCATTGAAGCGTCAATGATTGCTAAGGGGAGGTGTGCGCCTTTATGGCCCTAATCATTTTTTCAATTTTATGACTGAAATGTCTTATAGTTTTATATTTTAAACGTTTATACAGTTTATACTTTAATTGGATTTGAAATGTCAACAGTTTTAAGACTCTTACATTGGCATTTTACATGTTTGTTGTGTTCTGTGGGTGTGCTTGAGGCCTCCCAACCTTACTGGCGAATCCAGAGTGACTCTGAGCTTACGCCTCCAATACCCGGCATGACCTTTTACGGCACACGCGGGCCACACCGACAAAGGGACACGTTCAGGAGGTCCGGCCCTCGTAACAAATGAGTTTGACGCCTCTGTATAAAGGGTCAAGTGTCCTTTCAAAAAGCGAACACAAAAGCAAACAGTGAGACGGCGACATCCCAATTGCTCTGCCCCTGTGCTCCCTTCCCCCACCCCCATGCAGCAGTCTGCTGTGGAGACTCCCTTGCTAAGACCCCCCCCTACACAATCGTTGGGGTAGGTGAACAGCTTCCTCGTATTCATAGAATCATAGAATGTTAGAGTTGGAAGGGTCCTTGCAGGTCATCTAGTCCAACCCCCTGCACTCTGCAGGAACACAGCCGAAAGACAGCCCTACAACATACCCGAAAGATGGTCATCCAGCCTCCGCTTGAATATGGCCAGGAAAGGAGCATCCACCACCTCCCGGGGCAGACTGTTCCACTGACACCATCCTGGTTGCCCTCTTTTGGACACGCTCGAGCTTGTCAACATCTTTCCTAAAATATGGGGCCCAAAACTGGACACAGGACTCCAGGTGAAACCTGACCATACCAGAATAGAGCAGAACTACCACCTCCCGTGATCTGGACACAGTGCTTCTGTTACTGCATCCTAAGATTGCATTCGCTTTCTTCACAGCCACATCGCCCTGCTGGCTCATGTTTAACTTGTGATCAACCAGAACACCTAGATCCCTTTCACATGTGCTGCTGTCAAGCCAAGTCCCTCCCATTCTATAGCTGTGCCTTTGATCTTATGTACCTAAGTGTAGGACTTTGTACTTCTCTCTATTGAAATTCATTTTATTTGTCTCAGCCCACATTATTATTGTTGTTGTTAAATTTATATACCGCCCTCTTTGGAAGGGCTCAGGGTAGAGTACATCAATCAGGAATAAACGTGTTAAAAACAATAGTTAGAAAACAGTGAATGGTTAATAGCAGATTCAGAAGACTTGAATCCTGACTAGGGTTATACCCTGGGAAAGGCAGGACTTCCTCAGGAAGAGGCTGGATTCCATATTGGCGTACTGTATGCACCAGATCTTTTACAATCGCATGAAACACCACTCCGTGCAGGGGGAGGAGGTAGAATGTGGTCACGCGAGAGCCGCCTCGGTTTGCTTCGAGTCACACCTCTGCCAAAAAGCATGTGCTTTGCTTCGCAGGCAGAGAGAGCCGGCAGCATCAGGGCCTGGCATCTCTAGTGAAAGGGATCTCAGGCGAAACCGGGCTAGCCAACACCCTGGACAGAAGGACACTGCCTTCCAGAGTGGACAAGACTGGGCTAGACTTGGCCTCAGGGCCATACGACTCGGGAAGAAGGGAAGTGCCTCCTGTCCCGGGCGGAAGATCTCCAGGCCCCATTTCGGCCTCCACAAGTCATCCAAGCTCTTTTCAGGGTAAACTCTGAGGTTAAACAAGGCTACAGACATTCACCCGCCATTCCGAGGAAGGCAAAGGAAACACACAGTCCCAAGACGGCCCCTACCTGCCAATCCCTCTTCTTGATCGCAGCTGGGGAGAAACGGCCCTTCCTCTTCTTCCAGCCGGGATATGAGGTCAGGTTTCGCACACTGAGGTCCTGTTTATTAGGAAAACACCCAAACACACAAAATTAGACCTCTTCTTCTATGTATCCCTAAATCCAACAATTCCAAGCCAGATCGATGGTCCCTCCAGAAACACCCAATAGGCAAGTCATGGGGCTGGGATGGAGGGCCGTATGGGGCCAAGACTCATCCCTCTTTTGTCACCCTGAGACTCTGTAGGAGCACGGATATGTGGCCATGCACACACGTACACCCAACTCTGGGCCTCTACGGTCCTCAGTCTCCGTAGGCACAGATTGCACATGGGGGCAGCGTTTCCCCACAAAGTCGTGAGACCCTCCTTTTGAAAGGGTTGACTTTGATTAAGCATCAAGGTATAGACTGAGGGAAAGACGGAAAGGAGAGTTTTAAAGTTGGGTGGCACTCAAAGCCCTTAGAATATCTCTCTGGGTCATTCCGAATTCAACAGTGACTAAGACCTTTGATGGGGAAGATGCCCGATTATGTCTCACTCGTGGCCAGCCCGTGAGAGAGTTGTGGGGCTGGCTGCGGTCCCTGAGGGACGTGAGGGAAGGCTGGCTGGACGGGAGAGAGGGAGAAAGGGAGAAAGGAGGAAACACGGCACGGAGGAGGAGGCCCGGGGGGTCCGAGGAGGGGGAGACTTAGGCTGGAGACCTGGCCAGAAAGGGGGGCAGACGGGAGAGAAGAAAAGGCTCCTTCCACAGCCACACCTCAGCCCAGGGAAGGGTAGGCCCAGACTGGAGGGAAGTCCCCTGCTGAGACCCCTCCAGCACCACCACCTCCCAACCAGGCCTCCTCCTGGCACCTCTTCTGAGGGCCGCTCAGGTGGATCAGGCCCAGGACTGCCACGCAAAGGCTCCCTCGCAGCAAGGAAGGCACAGGACCCTCCCCACCTCAGAGGACAGAGGCAGAGACCAGCCACAGGGACCAGAGGCAGGCAGCCTGACACCACATCCCTCCTCCTGAAGGGCTTCCTTATTGTCACTCCTCAGTGCAAGAGGGAGAGAAGGCTCCTCCTCACCCAGAGAGGCCACGTTCCCGAAGTTCTCCAGCATGACCTCCTTGTAGAGCGCTCTCTGGGCCGGGCGCAGCAGGGCCCACTCCCCCCGGGTGAAGTCCACGGCCACCTCCTCGAAGGACACCCCGGCCTGCAAGGAGGAGGAGAAGGAAGCAATTTCTCTACATCACACTGGAAAGCAGGCCCATGAGGGGGGAAGCCAGAAACAGAGAGTCAATTAATATAGGAAGAGCGAGAAGAGCCCCGTTGGGACATCTCCCCTCCCCCAGCCCTCCTTGGGAGCATTTTGGAAGCAGAGGGGCCGTCCTCAGCCACAGTGGGGTTAGCAGCCTTGTGGGGAAGAGGCCAGAGATGTCCGGAGGATCAAGGACTAAATAGGTTTCCGTGGGAAATTCCATATTGTTACGGAGACATTTGGAGTTGGGCCATATCAAAAGTAATGTTCTAATTGTCCTGCTTCTCTG